TGCAGCTCTCAAACGCCATGCCACAGGTAAGTACCGGCCCTCCCACGGGCCTGCCCAGCCATCACAGACCCATACAGGTCACACACACACTCAAGGCACTCCGACAACATGCAGGCCACACACAGTCATGCAACCCACAAACAAGCACGCACTCAGACCCAGCAAACACATCGACAGGCAGGGAACTTAGTACGGCATGCATCCTATGAGCAGAAATCAGAAATCGACTGTATGTTTCAGTCCGTGTATTGACGGGTCATTACACATACCAATTTGGGAAAGTAAACTTTGTTTTGTTGGTTTATTAACTAGGTCTGTTTATTCCATTGGATTGCTTGTTTTGTTTTGTTTCATTTGCTTGCTTGGTTTGTTTGGCCCGTTCTTTTGGGCAAATTTAGAATAATGAAGCATTATCGCAGCTTCAACAAAGCCATATGGATGGCAAATATGCCAGGGCCTTACTGGGAATATGACGGGAGCCTACACAGAATGGCAAATATGTCAGGGCCTTACTGGGAATTTTCATACATGGTGTGGTGAATCTTTTTGGATGGGATGTGATTGTTTGGTTTTTGCATGTGACTCACCTACTTAGTGGCATTTTGACCTCTTCTGGCGTTCGGACTACAACTGTTTGTGTGCTAGACTGCTAATGGCATGTGTCGAATGTCACTTCTACTGCTACATATGTGTACCAAATTTGGCTTTTCGTTTGTTTGTCTTTTTGCGGTGATACTTTGACTGGCAGGTCGCAAATCCAAGCATATTGTTCCTTGATGAGCCAACGAGTGGACTGAGCAGTCGAGCTGCTCAAAGTGTGATCACTGGCATACAGAACATAGTTGCAACGGGCCGAAGTGTCATTTGCACCATTCATCAGCCAAGTAGACGCTTGTTCCTGGCTTTCAATCAATTGCTGTTAATGAAGACAGGAGGAGAGGTGGTTTACTTTGGTCCTCTTGGACACGATGGCAGAGATCTTTTGGTGAGTAAGAGTTTTCTTGAACTTGCTAGATTCTTGAACTTGCTAGACTTGGAAGGCATCTCCACAGAAGAATGGGGAAAACTGTCAGCAGCAGCATTGCAGCTGAAGGAGGATGGAGGAGGAGGAAAAGGTGAAGAAGATGGGGCATTCCCACAGAACAGGTAAAACCAGCAGCAGCAACAGTAGCGATAGGAAGGGGGAGAGGGGAACTTGCAACAGCTGCTGCTGCAGGAGGAGGAGGTGTAGAAGACATGCTTGTGAGGAATAATGTGAAAAAGCTAGTGCTGGCTAATGTGGAATTGAAGGCATACTAAAAATGATAAAAAAAGAAGAAAAGAAGAGAAGAGGAAGGATGGTGAAACACAGCCAGAAATAAGACAATTGCAATCATGAATTGAAAGAAAAAGCAGATGAATTTTGAGTACCGCGAGTGGTTTGAACTTCACACTCCAGGCTTAGCTCTGTACGCTGTTTCTGACAAGACAAGTCATTAAACTGTTCATGGATGACTGAGGCTTGGACAGAGTAGAAGAGGACAACAACACAGGTCCAAAACCCAGGCAATCTGTGGAAGCTTACTCTCTATCCCGAGAAACCAATTTTGCACTCCATGTAACCTGCACAATCAGTGCTTGTAAGTATTAGCATCACATAAAAAAAAAAACGCTCCGTAAATCCTAGCTGTTGATGTGCAGAGCAGTCTGCAGCTCAATACTTGATGTGCTTATCTGTCATTTACCTCCATGCATGCATGCTCCAACAGGTTGGTGAAGGTATGCTCGTCCACGGAGCTCTGGTACAGTAAGGTACTGCAATTACTAGAAACTGGATTAGAAAGAAGACACAAATGTCATCGCGGCAGGAGGAATCGGGGATTTAATTACACTGTGCATTTGTGGATTAGTCAGGAAAGGGTGTTCCTTTTTTACCATGATCATTTTCCATGTGCATGAATCCTACATGACTTCATTGCTTTTCGACTCTTTGATGTATGCACACAGGACTACTTCGAATCACTTCCTGGTATTCCGAAATGCAGGAATGACCAGAATCCAGCCTCCTACATGCTTGAAGTGGTGGGAGCGGGTATTGGCCATGCTGCACCACGGGACTTTGTGCAGGATTATCAGAGGAGTGAACTAGCTCAGCGAAATGGTAAGGTGATACGCCATTGTGTATGAGAATACACCGTCCGTCCTGTGCATCAGAGCAATGCAAATGGAGAGCTCCTCAAGTGAAACATATTGTCATATACAGTATTATACACATAAATCATTGGTCTAGTTAGTTTTGAAGTAATGTTATTAAATTCACATCTAAATTGATCTAATATAATTGGGAAAAAAAAATCATCAATTAAATTAATTTGTGATGTCCACTTGGGCTCACTGCTGCATTGTGCATGGGTCCTGGGGACCAACTCACGCAGATGTGCATACATCAAACATCGTCTTCACACTCAATGGACACAGTTGCCACACACGAGACAAAGGTAGATGAGAATAGGACCAAGACCCGTCACTTATATTATCAAAAATTATGATTACAATGAGTTCACAGTTCCCTGAGTCAACGCGCTTTAGCGCAATACCAATCCCACATCAGATACATCAATGCCACCTTCGTCACTTGCTTCTAGCTCAGGTAAGTGTCCTCCATAACCAGACCTTGAAAGA